GAGATGCTTGGGCGCAAGGGCGTTCTTCATCGGAAGAAGCAGCGTACTGATGGTACGGCTTAAGCCGACCAACGTAGAACGTGGGATGCGTTCGCATCTTACGTGGTAATTCGATCGTGTATGCATTGCCTAGGCGGTGCAATACACGAAATGGGTCGATGTAATTGGGTAGAAGTTTACTACTACCCAAGTTAGTCACTACATGCGTTGGTAGATTAGTCGTAGACAGTAGGACTAAGTCACCTTTTTTAAATAAAAGAGTGTTTGCCCTAACATTCTTGTCAGCGTTTTGCTTTTGATTATCCACCGCTTCGACGATGGAGTCTTGCACAAAACGGACTACCGTTTCACGAGCCAGTATGAACTCATCTGATGACTTGTTAGCTTCAGTGCGCTGTGAGCGCACTGCGGCAACATCAACCTTTTCTTCAGTGAGGGCTCCCGCACTCTCACTGGGATCATCTTCTTCAGTGAGGGCTTCCGCACTCTCACTGGCATCATCTTCTTCGATATCGATGTTATCGATATCGGCATCAAACGCAATGACTTCTTCGTCAGAGCGTGATGAGCGTGAACCAAATCGGTTTTTGCTCACGCGAGGCCCCCCCCCCTTAAACCAGAGTTACACTCTAGTAAGGTGGGTACACGCGGATGGCGCAAGCCATTCACGTAAAACGGTGTATGTGTCGTGGACGCATGCACCGAGTTGTTGATGGCAAACTCTACCATTGGCAAAAACTCACTCCAACTCTTGAAGGAGTGTACGTATCCTCGAAGTATCTCTTCAAGGACACGATTGGCACGTTCTGTCTGACCATCTGACTCTGGATGATCAGATGTTGACATCGTCAAGCGCGTTCCGAGTGATTTGAACACGGAACGCCAGCAATCAGCAGTGAATCGTGGATCTCTGTCTGATACGAGTTCACGGGGCAACCCATGAAGTCGGAAGATGGTGTCAATAAAGACACAAGCACAGCCACTTGCCGTGATTGTCTCTGGTACAGCCACAAGGTGTACCATTTTGCTGAATCTGTCAACAAATACGAGAATACCCGTATTCCCGCGTGCGTCTTTGGGTAACCCGAAGACAAAATCCATTGAGATGGATTCCCAGCACTCAGCCGGAACTGTTAGAGGCTGTAAAGGTGCACGCAGTGAAGTACTTGACTTCACTCGTTGACATACTTCGCATGCGCGAACATACTTTCGCAAAAACTGATACTGGCGGGGCCAGTAAAAGTCTCGACTCACCGTGAGATATGTCTTCTCCCGGCCACGATGTCCTCCTATAGGAGCATCGTGATACTCGAACATGATCCGCAAACGCAGATCAGTATCATCTGGAATGACAACACGTGGTGTGTCACCAGAAACGGCTGTATGATACAGTAAACCGTTACGAGTAGTGTATCGATCTGATGCAGATCGATACGCAGACGACAATCGTTTCAACGATTCTCGAGATGGCTGTGAGAGATGTGTCAACAACTTCACAATCTCACCATCTTGGGCGTATGCCCGCCTCACATCATCATACAACGTTGTAGATGGGACTGAGGACGTCATAACCGCAACAGTGACTGCCTTACTGTTTGGTTTCACGACTGATTTAAATTCGGGACGACGTGAGAGTGCATCAGCGACGACATTAAGTCGTCCTGGTTTGTACTCGACCGTAAAGTTGTATTCCGCAAAGAATGACAACCACCGCGCCATTCGTTGTGAAAGGTGCGGGCTGTTCACTGCCGTGCGTACTGACGCATGGTCAGTGTAAACAATGAAGGGTCTATCTCCTAATAGATAGACTCTGAACTTCGCGAGTGCATACTTGATGGCAAGGAGTTCCTTGTCATGCACTGGATAGTTCCGCTCAGCTGGTTGCAGTTGACGCGACTGATAGCAGACGACGCGTTCAACGCCTTCTAGGTCGTACTGCATTAATGCACAGCCGATTGCGAAATCGCTGGCATCACAGACCACATGAAATGGCCTGTCCTGATCGGCTATTGCTAGGACTGGGGATTGTATCAAGCAGAGCTTGATACACTCAAAGGAGCGCTGAAATTCAGCGTTCCATAACCATATCTCGTTCTTTTTCAACAAACGAGAGAGGTGCACAGTCATCTCGGCGTAATTGCGTGAATACTTATGCAAATACGCCGCTAGCCCAAGGAATTTTCGAAGACCTTTGACATCAACCGGCACAGGCCAGTCGGTGATCGCCTTGATCTTTTCGGAATCAGGACGTACACCGTTCTTACCAACGATGCACCCAAGAAGTGGTATTTCGCTTGCGGCAAATATACACTTCTTGAGGTTTGCATACAATTGATGCTTTCGCATGATTGTAAGAACCTGTCGGACGTGGTATCTGTGAACCTCAACGTCGGACTTTCCATCCATAGCCCGACTACGATTGAAGACGTGATCGGAATAACTCGGTGCGAATTCTCGTACTGGTCTCAACAGATGTGATACACATCTTCTAAACGTGGCAGGGGCATTACTGAGCCCTTGTGGAATTACTAGCCATTCCTAGAGCATGACGCTAGGCGTGCTCACTGCTTTATAGGGTATATCTCGTTCTCGCATAAGGATTTGATAGAAGCCATTCATCAAATCCATGAACGAAAAGAGACACACCATCAATGATTACGTCCTTCCTTGGTATCGGCGTCTTAGCCGGTACCGTTGCAGCATTCAACTTGTTGAATGCATGCACTATCCGCCACCCTCCTGTCGCTTTTCGCACACAGAAGGTCGGAGGGCTATGTGTGGAAGTTGATTCCCTCACATGGCCCGCTGCTAAACGATCGGCAAAGAACTTGTCGATCGCAAGTACTTGTTCACGAGGCAGTGGCCACTGCTTGATGACACAGTACTTCAAGCCTGGTTTAAGCTCGACCTCGTGTCGAATACCTTTATCCTTCGGTAACTCGCACGGAACAGTTTCAAGGAATGCATCCTTGAATTCAACCAAATCTTCATAGAGAGGATTTGTCTTGAGCGATTCCCACGATTGGGAGTCATATCGCTCAACTCGTGTCTTTTCATCTAGGACACTCTCGTCCATAGATGAACGACAACAGTTTTCACTGAGAACGAGAGAGTGAGAACTCTCTCGTTCTCAGTGAACACTGTTGCTGACCTTATGTCGGTTACACACTCGTCGTCAGCGACGAGTATGCAGATCTGCTTGACTTTGCCACTACGCAGATCACGCAAGAACCTTTTATGTTCGAGCGTTGGAAACTGAGTGATCTCCGAAGTCAACTTCGGAGGCGCAATCAGATCAAGTGTATAAGCGCCTACACTTGCTCTATTATTGACTATGACATTTAATGTCTCTGTCATTTCCTGGGGACTTATTCCCTCAGGCTTCGAAGGACTTATTCCTTCGTCTTCCCGGGGACTTATTCCCGCGGGTTTCGGGGAACTTATTTCCGCCGTATTTGTATTCTTGGGACTTATTCCCTTTACTTCCTCTAGCTGGGGTTGCGCAACCACAGCGATATCCTCTACGAAAGACTCTCCAGTCGATCTAGGATTATCGTTTCGCTTAACCTGAGCGATCGATTGTTTCTCTTCTAGATGTTCCCCGCTAGGGATACATCTTTGTCCCAGCCCACCCGACTTATTCGAGTGGTGGACCTTCGGCGCAGCCTGTGTTTCCTCACAGCCGCCGGAACTTTGCTCCGAAGTGTAACCGTTTGGTACACTAAGGTTTTGTGCAGTCGTACTAACGACCGTACCACAAGTGGGGCCATCACACTCACTTGTAGTACATCCACACGCTTGTGGACGCTCCAAAACGTTCATCAGATGGCCATCTGATGAACAAGCGGCAGGCATCATTATTGTTCGATGTTGCCATTTTACCCGTGGTTCGTACCTTCTGAGCCACGGTATTCCAAGGATGACATCAAATTTGTCATCCAAATCCAATACGATAAAGTCATCGTCATATTGGGTATCTTCTAGCGTACAGTGAATCTTCACTATCCGTTTCATGAAGGTTACGGATGCGCCTGTCGCAAGACGTACCGTCATCCTCGTAGGAGGTGTGTCACATTCACTGAACTTAAAATGACCATCTTCTAGCGATTGGCGTCGCACAAAATTGTTGGACGCTCCACAATCGACTAGAGCTCGAAGGGACAACTTATTCGTCACCTCGAGTTCAAGGTAATGAGTGAGATCTCATTACCTAGAGCAGCAACACACAATGTTTGTCTGTTGGAAGCAACCTTCATCAAGGGGCCTACAAATTCTCTTGACGTTGCTGGACCAGTAGGGTGCTCCGCACCTACTGATCCTGTCCGTTTTTTGACGGTCCATCCCGTTGTTGCGTCTTTGCACCAACAGCGGACCCGCGTCCCTGCCCCTTTCTCATGGGTGGACGGTCACTACGCCCAGTGTTGCGAGACACTGGACGAGGGGCACTACACTCGTAAGCGTAGTGTCCTGTCTTTTGACATCTGTTGCATTTCTGCAACTTCTTTTAGTCTGTAGAGCGAGCCTTCTCGCTCTCTACATAACAGAGTTACATCGGCTCTGGACCTCCGTTGTCATATCGTCTCGGTGGACGATATGATGTCGAGCTGGCGCGAGCCTGTCTCAGACTGAAGTCTTCCTGTTCCGCAATGGAAATGGCTTGTTCTAGTGAATCTAGTTCAAGCCGGAACAGGTGAGTCTTGACGGGACCATCCGCAAGACCCTGCATGAACACCGAAACCAACGTGTGTTCATCCACCGGATTGGAACTTATACAACTTGTGAGATGTCGTATATGTTGAGCGTAAGCGTGCACATCACGCTTACCTTGTCTGAGCTTCAATAGTTCGGTTCGAGCTCTGAACTCAGCTCTAGGCTTCAAACGTTTGTCTGAGCCGCGACTTGAAGACTTCTAACGACCCAAACGCGTATGGGTCGTGCAACTTGAGCCCCAAAGCACAAGTCTCGGCACGTCCTGCCAGATTTGACTGGGCAAATGCAACTTACATATCCCCGTCGTCGATGCGACGCGCCCTTATGGCGTCATCCAATTCGACGAACCATCTCAAGAGGGAGCCCTCTTCGACTCCCCTATACTTGGAGATGCCAATCTTCAAGGTTTTGGGTCGACGCGAGTGCATCGACCCACCAGCAGCAGCCTGCTGCTGTCTCAACAGTTCAAACTGTTGAGCACCCTGTTCTCTCAACAACTCTGCTTGATGAGAACCTTGTTGGTGAAGCAAGGCTACTTTGTCGTGTTCAGCGTCAAGTTCATTTTGAATGAACTTGGCGATAGTAGCATGTTGGGCATCTTTATTGAGAGCCTCTATCATGACGCTAACAGCATGGATGCCCATGGTTGAACCCATCCGTTCAACCGCATCCCATTCGACATCGCTCAAATGGGAGTAGCCGTCACGCGTAGCGTGAAAGCTTTAGTCATCTTCATCATCTAACATATTCATGTTAGACGTGAAGTGGTCCTTGGACGGACTACGAAGTGCTACCAGGTGTAACGGGGCACCCTGAAGCTTGTACTGATGGTAGTACAAGCTACTTATTCTGACGACAGAATAAAGCGGTGTCGCGGAACTTCACGTACACTCGTACGTGCAGAGGAAGACGGTAAGAAGAAGCGAGTACTTAGTTTAAGTAAAAGTAGAACTGCATTTATGATAGTTAATGTCAGTTAATAAACCACTGTTTGTCCTCATCTAACTTTGTCTAAATACAAATGTGTAAATCAACTATCTGCTCACCACTCATTGCGTGCGTCTGTCGTGGCGCGTCTTCGTTGGTTGATATAATGGCCTATATCAACCAATTAGGAACTACTCGTAAGTGCTGCAGAATATTTGTCCTTATGACAATATTCTGAGAATATAACTCTTATAGTTATATTCTATCAACAATTTCTTATAAATTGTTATGTAACGATTCACCTGTTACAAAAGGGGAGCAAGCTTTGGAGCTCGCCTTGTGATATAAGCAATTCATTTTATCGAACTGAATCAAGTTGCAAAACACTATACAACAGCAGTATGAATATGATACTCTGTGCGTCTGTAATCATCCAGTACATCATGCTTAATCCACGCAATCGGCTGTTGCTTTATGAGCGTCCAGCATTTACTTGTGAGATCATACTCACTTTTGATCAGTACTGAGCCAATCAGGTGCGTGCCACCACAATAATGAACTGTCCAAAGAGTGAAACTTATCATGATAAGATCGACCTATGAGGGGAGACAGGCTATATCGTACTGATTATGTGTGAGGTACACCTAACCGCGTTTTTTACGGACACACACACAGACACACTGCTAAGTGCAATTTAAAAGTTCGGCATTCCACTTTGCGCACGCTTACAAATATTTTTACCTTTCCAGCTTGCAGTAAGTGTATAGTTTGAGAATTTGAGCTGATTATGGGGTAGTAAACCTATCCAGGACAAGCATCGAGGGTGGTTCGTGTGGCGTTGGCACTGCAAAAGTCAGCCTGAGAGCTGCGGAGTAGTTTGTAGACAACTTGATGGGTTTCCTGGGACATACGATGCACGGTACAGGCACTACCTAACATGGTGATCTTCTTGGACTTGATAAATATGTCTGCAATTGCCTCCTCATCTCCTCCATCTACTTCTTTTCACTCTTCCTCTTCCTGCAATGTCTTCAGAATCACTTGATCAATATGCTGTGGCTAAGCACTCTCGTTTCCTTCAATATAAGTGATTAGATCATCAGTGGAGAGTCAATCAACGATTACACCGTGCTCCCAACAAAGAACAACAACCCTGCAAACAACCAGGGTGGCTACGTGTCTCTGACCGTGAAGCACAACCTGAACCAATCGTACCGACGACAGTGATGTCCTGTGTTAGTGTCTCTGGGGCTATTATTCTGCTGGGTCGATTATGTTAAATTTTGGGAGTGAACGTGGAGTGAGTAGTTTCGGATGAGATTTCACTTTTGAACATTTTAATATTGACTTGACTACAATGTATGTGTTAAATATTTTACTTCTTTAATTTTTGGCATATCATCTATTTTTATTGGTTACTATTAATTCCACCCCGACTTTTACTAAATGCGCCCCATACACCACACCCGTAGTTCACCACAATGTGGTATGAATGACGAGTATCGCGCCCACCTACCTCTGAACAACCACTTTCGCACAACAATCTGCGTCAATCGTACAAATGGTGAGTGCTTCAAACAGTCAATCTCGTATCTGCGAAATGACCATAACATCAGTCAAAGCAGCTTTGAGCACGTAAACAGTCCCCTCAGGCTGCCACGTGCTTTTGTGCAGAATACATATCGACATGAGTAAGCAGAAGAGAACAAATTGTCGCGCGTCTTTAGCATCTTGTAGGGTGAACGTTACGACCTCGTTGCACGTTGTTTTAAGAATTCAAATATCGACTACATTACTCGTTCGGAACTAAAAGGGGGAAAGACCGAATACAAGATTCGTGTTGAGGCACCTGGCGAATAGAGACCTTACACACCAAATCGGATGATGGAGATCGGTTACGTGTCGTGCTGCTGGACAGCCATTTTATTATTTGACCGACAATGGCCTGGTCCGTACGCAGATCCAAGATAGGCACGATCAAAGGTACTTGTAGCTGTATAATACTTTTCTTGGATGCAGGATTTGCTGCGACGTATGTTCCCAACTACGCTCGGTAAAGCGTAAACCATTGTTTTATTTATTTTCGTACCTTACTCAAATGAACTATGGCTATCGCCATTTATTGAAAACCAAAAAGCAACCCAGGTGTATCCGACTTGTAGTGACGAGTGCTTCGTGTTCGTTAGTCAATTTATTGACGAAATCAAAGAGCTTTCGGTTGCCTATTGTGGGCTAAAGAATTTTGCTTAATAAACCACTTACCTTTTGTACGACTGACGCTGATTGTTGTGCGAAAGTGGTCGTACAGAGGTAGGTGGGCGCGATACTCGTCGTAAATTCCACATTGTGGTGTGCTATGGGTGTGGTGTATGGGGTGTATTCAGTAAAAAAATGAGGTGTATTTAGTAAAAAATGGGGTGTATTTGTCAAAACCCTTTAACAATACCCATTTTGTTGTTTGTGATCGAATTGGTGGAATCCCTATATACGACGACACCATAATCCGATATCAAAAGTATAATGTGACGAATTCAACCATAATCCGATATCAAATAACCTTTGCTAACACATATAATACGTTTTTTGGGTGCAAGTTAGTAGATGGAGACCTGTCCACGGTCAGTGATCCTTGGTAATCACGTAGTTTCAGACTCTGTCTCATGTTTACAGTGGGGTGCTATGTGGCTCACACTATTTCCTTTCTGTGTTGAACCGGGTTTCGGAATGTACTGGTATAAGAAGCTCGATCGATCTTGTACTGATATTGCTATTCTCTATCTTCTCAAATGCCAACCCGATATTTTACTTACCTGACGCCATTTAACTTCGGTCACCCATTCGGCAAGTTTGACTCTCTCTATTCGACGAATGCGGCGCGTGGGCGCATTCAGTACGAGCATCTCGTTCACTTTAAACGGCCAATCGTCTTGCGCTTTGGAGGTCGTTTCAGCAGCCGAAAGAAATCACGTGACAGTTGAGAGTTTCTACCAGAAGAACATCGTATCGCAAAGGAATCGATTGATTTGGCAGCACGTTGCTGCTCCATACGCCATCTGATTTGTATTCCGCTTCCTCTTGACCACTCTTTGCTGACTTGCCGTTCCGGCCGTGCTGCTTGCGTATCAAGAGCCTAAAAGGAAGAAGAAAAAGTAACAAAAGCAGCAAAGTGCTTTGAGTCGACCGTGGAGCTACAAAAACCTAGGTTTTGGTCCTTACTTTGTCAGTTTTAGGAGACATGGAAGTCGTACGCAAGCGTCAGAAGCGCCAGAAGCCCGTTGCAGTTAAGCATGAGGAAGAGGACACGAATGCGATATGGCGTCGCAGTGACATAGAGGAGAAGACTATAGTGGAAGAAAGAATGACTGAGCTGGATACCAATAAGGAGCTAAACGAATTGGAAGAGCAGCTCCACTGCAATGAGGAGGATGTGACGACGTTGTTGGTACCGGACGGAGAGGTGGCAAGCAAACAGGAGCTCGGTATAGCCATAGAAGGGGCAGACTTGCGACGTGTGCAAGTGTACAATAAGGAAGAAGATTGTGGGGAGAATGAAAAGATTCCACAAGGACAGGACATCGTTTGCGAAAAGATAATGAAGACAGTGAAGACTTCGGACCGCAAAAGTATTGGTTCACGTGTGATCGGGATGGAAAGTGGATGCATTTGTGCGCCTTCAGCTCCAACTTTCGAAGTAGGTATACCCGATCCTTTGGACATTCCAGCAATGTCTTCACTTCCAAATCAGGCAGTCCAATCGTCCCCGCCTCCGATTCGGACGTCGGCGCCACGTGCTTTTCATGAGATTACATTAGTTGTTAGTGTCGATCCAGAACAGGTACCTGCGGCCCCTTCAGAACTTGGCGATGATGACGTGGCTGAGTGTTTGAGCACGACTCCGTCGGCACCATTGTTTTCTCCTACGATGTCGAAGAAGCTGCATCGCGACATCGTATCATCGCAAAGCTCGGAGAAGCTGAGTCCGACCGTAAGATCGCCACCGAAGTCAGTAGCAGCAGCATCGGTGGAAGATGCGAGCGTGAAGGTGCGAGATTCCTTAGCAAAATCGTTTCAGGCCGCAAAACAAGCTGGAATACGTGGCATTTATCCGCCAATGCCTCGACAAGCCATAAAATCAACGACACTAGCAGCAGAAGAAGATAGGGGTGATACCCACGCAAGTTACCAGCAGCTCCTTAAGAAATCGCATGTCCATGTGAAGCTGGATCCATTCACAAGTTACGAGACGAACCTTATGCGAGCCGAGGTGTCCCAGAAGCGTCAAGAACTGAAAATGCGTCACATTGAGACCGTAAAAGGAGAATTGTACACTCGGGTTGAGTGCTATCTGTACTCGGAGTACATAGTGCACGACGCCGCTTCGACGATGAGCGAGGACAAAGAGAAGATTGATCTGTTGATTAAGAAAGGTACGCTTGAATTTGTCGAGTAGTTTTCTGTAGCGCAGCTCACATGGTTTTATTTGCATGTTTAGTGTGGACTTTGGAAAGAAAGCGCGTTTCTTCGTCACAGCGCTGCGGTGACAGCGTGGAGATTGAGCAGCAAATGGAGTTTCAAGCTGCAAAGTTGGAGACGGCTCAGCTGGAGAAGCTGAGATCTCATCTTGATGAGATTCGTCAGCAACGAACGACCAAGGCGTCAATGCATACCTTTGATCGCGCAACTTCTTATCTTCGTGTTGAGCAATACCTGAATAGCGTGTTGCAAGAGCCGGATCTGGTAATGTATCTTAACAAAACGATTTCATCTTCTGGAGATATCAGTAATATCGATGCTATCCCGGAGAGTGCAAACTTTCACGAGACTTTGCCGGAGGGCTCGTCGCTTGCCTCGTCGGTGGATCATCTCAAGTATTGTATTGATGTGCTGATTTATTTTGAGAAAAAAGTGACGCTAGAGGAAAAAGGCGCGTTCGGGCGCGTGCCACGGTCATTCCATCGCGGTGAGCTAATCTGGGATAGCAGCAACACAACGATAAGGGGCAGCGCCGCGGGTGGTACTGGTGTGGAGTGCAAGATCAAGTGCTACGCGTGTGGCAGTGTGAACATACCAATGAAATCTAGCCAGTGGTGCAATTCGTGTGATATGTGTGATATGCTGCTGTATCTCCCACCGTCATCCGTATCAACGACAACGAACGAGTGGTTTCAAAGCGTATTACGGTTTCGTCAGTCGCTGCAGAAGTGGATTACAGTATGTGTGCAAACTCTTATGCGCACAAAATCTCTTTTAAATACGCCATATCTGTTAATGCATGCGATGTACTTGCCTCGTGTTTCAACCGAAGAACGGTCGTGGTTCTTACGATTCTTGCACTTCCCGCGGGCCATAGTGCGAACTGATGGATCGTTAAGGAATGAGTGGAGTGAAGATCTGGTGGACCACTATATTGCGATGATACATCTGGTGTTCCATCCTGAGAAGTTGCGGAAAATGTCGGTAGTTGTGTCCAGCGGGCCTTCCAGCGGTACAACGTTTGCAAAGAGTGCCAACGTCGGCGCACCTGATCAAAAAGGACTTGTTTCTTCCGAATGGGTCTTGTTGCAGAATCCGGAAATGTTGGATCGATATTACCTCTCGGACGAAGATTTTGTCGCTGTTCTGAACCAATTTCCAAACACGTTTGCGTTTGAGCAGTTATTTAGCTGCACCACAGACGTGAAAAAGTGTTTTAGTCGAGCTTTGACGCTGGTGTTGGAATTTACTCATGGTTTCCAAGTATTTCAAGAGTTCGAAAAGTTGCCGACGCGAATTGCACAGCTACTTGGGCAACTACTTCTTGGTGCGGCGGAGCTTCCTGGGTCAGGCTGTACAGAGAACTCCGACATGAAAGACACTATCTACTATCCGACACTCTTTGACCAGCTGTTTCTTTCCAGTTTGTGTGGTTTGATGACAGCTGATTGTAATCGCGTGGCTTGGAAGGGTATGTGCTTGTATCCTTATCGATCATTGTCAGTGCTGGCGAAGTGGGATGCGCTGGCGTTGCTTCTATTTAATCTCCAAAGCATACCGACAGAGGCGAAAACGGCTTCTGGGTGGATGCAGTTTATTGGTGCATCCAACGTTCAGGAAGTCGATATTCGAGCTCCGGCACGTCAACGCCTATACAATCTTATTCATTTGGATACGGAGAGCGCGGTATATGTGCTAAATGCGGTTGCTAGTCTTGCGGCATCGTGTCAGCCCACTACATGTGCTAACGACAATCGATTAGGCGAGCAGCACGATTTGATATATGTCGCAGTGTACGAGTTATTTATTGCAGGATACACTGTTGAATATTGTTGGCATGCGCTTGGCGAAAATGGTGAGCGAGCAGCGGTCCCGTTGAGTACCATTTGTTTGTCACACACGTGGGTGCTTTCGCATCTCATTATGCTGGTTTTTAAGTATCATCAATGCGCGGCAACGTGGATTAACGTGTTTGAGACGTTTCCAATAAATCGTTGGGTGCCGACAGCTGAAGATTTGCTGAATATAGAAAAATGGCTACAGCTTGAAGATATAACGGCCCCACGCAGTGCGCTGGCTCGTTTTCTTCTTGACCGTATCAATTGGGAGTACGACGTCAAGCTGCAACGGTTGTTTACAAACGCTATGCTCCATCGACAAGCAGCTCTCATGGTTTCTGAAGCATTAGTTGTCTACAAGAAGCGACAGGGACGTGCAGGTGATTTTGATGCCCCTACTGTATCGCCTGGAGGGGGGCCGCTTCAAAAGCTGGAGGTTGCTTCGATTGCCGAATCCATTCGGCGCGCCTTATGGCTAGACAAAACGGTAGATTTCGAGAAATGGTGCTGGAAACTTATGCTCAAGTTGAAATTTCATTCATTAGAGACGCACGAGCCACTGCTACCGCTTATCAACCTTCGCCACGATCGATCTCGCGAGGCGTTGACTTTGCGCAGGTGGTTTGCTGAAGCATCCATGTTGCCTTTTCGCAATGTATTTCCATTTTATACCTCGCTAGAGGAGCAATTATGGCAAATTTATGGGCACGCCGGCAACGATGGAAGTAGCAAGATGGATGCCGAGATTGGAGGAGGCTCTGGCGCTCCTATTGAACAAAATTGTCGAATGATTTTAACACCTCAAAACCATGAAGGCTTGAGCAGAGCTGATATCGTCTCAACAACCACAGCCACCGCAGCACCACAGATGGAGCCCATTGTAGCCTACGTCATTTGCCAGATGACAACGTATGTGTTTAGTGACCGCCTCGATCGCTGGGAGCCCCTGCTTGTACTGCTAAAAAACAGCCTTTTCTTGGCAGCTATTAGTGTGCTCGAAAACTTGTTGCCTCTACTAGCACGATTGGACAAGAATCGACACTGCCTATTGAAACCTGTGCCAGCGTCGGTGCTTCAGAGTGAGGACGAATCCAAGACGTCAGTCAGACGTATAAAATATGCAGGTTCACCGATCGACGACGTGCGAAGCGGTGGTGTGATGGACGGAGACAATAATGAGCTTGAAGTTTGCATGGCCGCAATGCAAGCTATGTCCACTGATGAACTGCTGAACCTGTTAAACTCACTGCACGAGTTCTCGTACATCAATACTCATGAGCTCCATTGCATGCAAGAAGTTCTGAACAAGGGTTACATCGGCGGGTGGGAAAGAACAGCAAAAGAGCGGGTTCTAGTAAAGCTGCGGTTTGTACGTAACTGCAGTCATTTTTTGCACCCCATTGTGCTACCTGCGCTCATTAACGAGTGTTTTCCTGAATCAAGCACCATGTTGGGCACAACTTCAGCTCTATTTCATGGGGCAATGTCGTGGATCGCCTCAGCACTAGGGACTGAACATAGCACAGGGGATTCACCATCAATGGTAGCATCGTCGACTTGTGCTGCTCTATCCATTCGAAACTCATCGTTAACTGCTACGACTACTTCACACCCAATTTCCACGAGAAACGGATTCCCGAAATCGACGAAATTGTTGTGCGCGATGATCAGACGATCCTTTGAATATTCAACGAACGACGTGCTACTTGCAGAGTCAATGTGCTTTTTGGTGAAGTCTTTATTGCACGTTCCGTTTTGGTATGACAATGGCGCGTTCCGACACGTCCTGGATGACATGTTGCACTGCAGTATGGAAGTTTACTGTGTCGCAAAAGGTGCAGAGAACAATCACGCAGTCACAGATTTATCGTCCGTTGTAATGTACGAACTGGTCGATTTACTTGAGGCTGCTTTTGACTCCTTTTGTCAAAGCTTTGAAAGGAGAGAAGAAAAGACGAGGCAGACCGAGCTCCAGTTTTTCGATGACGATCCGGTTGTTGTGATGAGTTTCCTTCCTTCAGTCACCGCCTCTGCAATGTTTGCCTCAATGCTTGGGGGTTCATTTGATGTGGCGCAATGCGTGAGTGGATGTCCGTATTTGGCTCTGTGGAGTTTACTTGTCGAAACTCGAAAGGAGGTTCCGCTGTTTTTGGCAATGGGGCAGCTTATGATAAAATTCGAGCCTAAGACTAAGACGAAGTTGGAAAAAATGAAAAAAAATGAAGGAATGCTAGCTACTGCGCTTGATGCAATAGGAAAGGATGCGTGTATCGATGAGGAGGCAGCGAGCTGTACGTCTCATTTCGGCAGTCCGTGTGCATTTGGTCATACTAGCCTTGATTGTCTATCGCAGTACAAGATATACCGCTGGTGCAACTACTGCTTGGATCTGTCCGAGTCCGAGCCGACGCAAATTATATACTGGCAGGTATTTTTTGCGCTGTACTTTGCAGCTGCTGACGGATCTCGTGTCTTTGGGCACCATTTTCTAGATCAATCAAGTACGTCTAACACAAAGGGTATGTCCTTGCGAAAGCGTCTTCAGATTAAATTACAAATGCTCGTAAACTACTACTCTAGTCAAGCACAGGTTGTGTTAACTGCGACAAGTGGTTCGGGTAGACGGACATCAAACGGTGCGAATTTGGCGACGGATTTGAAAGAGCGGCGATATGCTCACCTTGTGGCACTTTCCCAGATATACGCTGCTATGGGCGCTTGGGTCGAAGGAGAGGATCCAAATCAGTGGCTGAAAGAAGATGAATTATCGGCTTTGCCGCCTCACTACGAGGTTGACCGACTCGAAGACGTTTTGCGCCTCAGCGATCGGTTGCTTAACTCAGATTCGGGCAAGATGAAATGGTCTGACTTACCTTTGTGGATAAGTTGGTGTGGCTTTGAGTTCACTGTTAGACGAAGTACTTTTACCGTGGCCGTGGACGATAAATACGATAGCAGTGCCCGTTGTTCGGGGCTACCCACTTCTCCACCATTCGCCGCATTTGGCGAAGAAGACGGTTTCGCGTTTGTGGAAGAAACGTCGGAGCTAGCACGACGGCGTGGTACCTTCGAAGGGCATGCTGGACCAAATGGTCTCGATATCCGACCCTTGTCTATAATACCAGGTCCCTCTGGCCTAACTTTATTGCCAATAGTGTCAGTTGTGATGTTACCAGATCGGTGTGTCGTGACACAATCAGATTCAATCGATAAAGCTGGCCTAAACGCTGTGGCCACGAAATACTCGGAGAATTTGTCCGTTCTTGTGACGCTTGATGCTGAAATGATGGAGAGCGTAGCTCAACTTTATGTTTGTAAAGCAAGAGCAGTCACGCAATGTCTACCATGCCCAGAAGGCTCAAATTGTAGCAGTCCTGCTGTATGTCGATTTGAGTTTATAGAATGGGCGATCAACTCACGAGCAGACGACGCCATAAAATCAATTCGTGCCCAGGGTGAGCGGTGTGACATGCAATCTATGGTGATAACAAGCGAAACACCATTGCTGAAGGAATACGATGGCCAAACTCATGAGGAAGGTAGCACGGATATCACGTTGAGAACGTCTGTGTCAGCTGAACAATTCCTCCAGCTTGATGAAAGTGAATTTATGCTATCTCTTCAGATTTTGCTCATTGATGAAGTCGTGCGTACGCTTGTTGTGGAACGCGATAAGCTTTTACGGTTGAAACGAACATTGAGGAATGAAGCGTCAACAAATGCGACAGCGCCCGATGATGTGTTAGAGGGTAGCGAGGTAGGGGACGTTGCTGTGGTGAGCAGTACTGCTGACGGCGGCGTCCTGTCACCTCTCCAGCATATAGAGCGAGATTTTGACCGTCTGCATGAAAAAGGCCTTGAGTGGTTTCGCCTTTTTACCGAGCTCGATACAAAGCTGTTACGAATGTTGCCACCGTTGCGCGAAGCGCTCTGGCGATCTATCAAGCAGCTGGGATTACACTTTGTCTGTGTTGACGAGCGCGAGACGTGCACACTTCTTCAACTGATGCTAGAAGATCCGTCCCGTATCACACTTCTCAGTGGGTGTTTCTTTCCGGCGGCGTTGCCGCTGCGTTTTGCTGAAATGTTTGCAAAGTTGATGAGTGCAAGCAGCTCGTCTAAACTTTCAAGCGAAGAGAAGCTCATTGTCCTGCACCGCTTCGATTTTCGAGCTTGGTTGAACGCTAGAAACCAACAGTCACCCACCAAATTTGATCGCGATACTGTTTTGTGCATGATTCTGGGAGATGTCGGTCACCACTTTCCTGCAGATCGCAAGTTGGATGGTCCTGCCTTAGAAATCCAGGGCGCCAATGGATGTGCTCAACCGGATGACATGCTACGTTTGTACGCTGAGGTGCTTCAGCTGTTGTGTTCTACTTACTTGGAAGACCACATTGAGAAAATAGTGCGTGCTCTGGTCGGAGTCCACCATGACTACCGACATCAGCCGTCATTTGTAGACAGCACCTCACCTGTTAGTTTTGTTGACTGCACGGGAAGCTCTATGGCTTCGGCTTTACCGCGGCCAATGGATTTTTCAGTGTGGGAGGCATTGATTGGTGTTCCACTAGCTCGTTGGAAAAAGCTTTCGTTGGTGAACATCAGGGCTTGCGTAACGTTCCTTAGCGAGCACATGACATCGCTGAGGTGTCAAGGTGGTTTGCCTTGTGTCTCAAATGGTGGAGCTAGTGAAAACGTTGTACGTGGCAATAGGTTGACAAACGTGGTGTCGACTGCTTCGATGAAGTATCCCATTGTGTATTGGCAGCGGCTTGGGATTCTGAGAGGACTCCTGGATTTGTTTGCGCTGTGCTGTCGTGCTGCCCCAGATGAGCACCAGTGGGAACTTATCACTGCGTTTTTCGAACCGTTGCTCTCAACATTATACCAGCCTGCAACAAACCAAAAAGGTTCCGGGATAAGTGCACCATGGTCCGAAGGAGACACCCTTTCTACAGGTTCTACCGTTTGCTCTTGCTTCGTGGCTATATGCGCCGAGTACCTGAAAATGCAGTCTGCAGCGGGTCCGACACGTGATGTTAACCAGCACTCAACGACACAATCAGTGAAGCTGTCACAAATTTGGTCCTTCTACCTTTTGGCTCTTGTTCCGCGCGCGCCTGCTTACATTTGCAAGTGCTTTTATCAGTTCCTGACGCGGCTGGCATGGGAGCACTGGTGTTTGACTTTGGATACCGTGCAGCAAATGCGCAAACTCATTCAGACAGAAAAGCAGCACCTCACGGGAGTAGTGGGTGTGCCCACCGCGCAATTGGTTTCTACTCTGCACTCTACATCGTCATCATATCCGTATGTGTCATGGTTAGTGCGCGACGTATTATGCCGAACGACATGGAGATCAACCAATTCTTGGCTGGAAGCACAAAGTGAGGCGGTGCGCTCGTCTTTCCTGCTGGAATTCGCGAAGTTGTGCCTTGAACTGGCCCTAGACTTAATGCACTTACGCTTTAAGTCTGGTCACACAGTGTCTACGAATGTTCTTCCACCTTACTTTGTTAATTTCATAAAGCAGCAATCAGCGATGTGGACAAATTGGAGGTTGACGATAGATGATTTGAAAATGCTACTGCAGTTCACGTCGGATGCGGTCATGGAGCCGCTCACAAGTCAAGTGGACACGAAAACTTTGACAGTAAGTGGGTCTAATTTGCCAGTACCAAACATAGCGTTGATGCAGGACGCGTTCGCAAGACTGCAACTTGTCCTGCGGCTTCTTGGCCAGATAACTACACTACACCATGGCAAACTTTCCACTCCGGAAAGCTTGCAGCGGGTCAACCTGTTTTTAAATTTCGTCTTCAATGTGTTTGAAGTAAACGATCGTGGTTCGTTGAGCAATAACGCCCACACATGCGAGTATGGTGCGTGGTTAATGGTATTGTATGGTTCCAGCTGCGCATCTCTGTACGAGAAACTGGATGAGATTGTACACTATTACAAAGTCAGAGCCAGCGATAAGGCCGACGTGAGCGAGAATGGTATTTCCGAGGAAGATTTGGCGGCCACGATATCATGTGTCCTGCGATTTTACAATCTTTCAATAGTGGAGGTGTTCTTTAACACGGTGCAAGACGAAGGAGGGTTAATCTGTGGTGGAGAAAGCTCTGCATCATCATTATCAGGGTCTAACTGGAACAAGTGTGGCAATGTGGTGCTTCTTGTAATTGATGCCCTTGTACGTGATTTTGCGTCCCGACAAAAGGCGTTGGAAGAGTGTGAGCATGATCCATCGGTTCATGCTTGTAAAGACAAGTCTGCAAACCATACGGGTATCTCTGCGACAGAGATACCAGCAAAAATGATTGGGATGCCCCTAGGAAAAGTACTGTGGGCTTTCCTGGCCTTTCGGGGTGGAGAGCTGGCCTGCATGAGTGCCTGTGGGCGTACGTTAGCTTCTGTTCACGTGATGAGTCAGGCAACAGAGAAATGCATTGAGAAGTGGGTCATTGAGGAGCGTCGAGGGATGTGGGATGCGTTGGCGTTGCGGTTGCACGTGCCGGAGTTAAGTGGCGATGAGTTTGAGGCAGCGTGTTTGGAGCAAGGGAAGCTGCTCACCCTATTGGTCCTCTTCCTGCAGCAGGTGCGTCGCGCTCCAGTGTTGACAGAGTCATTGAGTGTGGCGCTACTGACGAAATTGATGGGATGGATGGAGCGTATTCGGGTTGGCACAACTGCGCTGTCTCAAATGAAGTTGCTGTTTTTGGCTGCGGAGGTGACAAACTTTGTGTGCAAACCACTCGCCGAGGCGCTACCTTCAATGCTGAAGAAACAGCTGCTTCGGCAACTGTGCGATCTATTGCTGGAATTGGGCCATGCGCGCCGTAACAACGGATTGATGAAAGCAATTGGCCTCGGTGGCCCTTTGCAGTATGGTTTCGAGTTCCACGTCTCCTGTTTGGCGGCAGGCGTATTTCTGCGGCTGCAGACACGCCATGGTGCGCCATTACGAGTGGATGATCGTATTTCATTCAAGATGACTCGTACCACGGAGAAGCACTTGCGTTTTCTGGAGACACTGCTACAGAGCAAAGATGCCCGCCGACTCGGTGGGCGTGCTGATGCCTTACTGGATTTTTCTCGCGATCCACGCCGAAGTCTTGCAGACCAGGACGAATTCTTCGTGTCGCTTTTTTCGGGTATGTATCCTGCTCAAGGATGGCTACTTGCAAAATGCCTGTCTTGATTGTCGAAGTTTGATGTTGCGTAGTAATTATTAGCGAATCGTTAGTCAACCTCTATCTTTTCATTTAAAAGGACCTCTTACCGATAATTGACATAAGCTTATATTCGACTTGACAATCGTTGATTTTGTTTGCTGAGCTAACGAGTGAATTGATGTAATCACTCCAATTATCAAACCTGATATCCATACCGTTCTTGTAAAACCTGATACTGGTACCTTTTTGCCAAACCAGTAAATATACTTCCTTTTACTCGTACGCTTTCTACACTTTAAACAATCGAAAGAGTTTTGATAGTGTCTTCCGTACCTTCCTACGTTGCACTCCATTCTCCGATACTATCTTCTTCGTGAGAGAAGTGCTCGTTCGAGGTACATGCAACATAGACCTTGTCATTAAAGCTAATTATATGATAATAAAAGCTAAATAGAATAGTATGTTTGCAAATTAGTGTGATAGTGGAAGGGGTGATCATGAAAGGCATGACAACGTCATGATTGAGTTCATCCATGCACAGTTATTCTACATATTGAAGCTTATGCATGCTCAACCGCATAACTGTTGTAGATACACTATCAACCCTCCTGTGAGGTCCGACGGGTCCCCCCTCACAACGCCCACATTCATCCTGGACTAAAAATGTAACGGGGTCACACTAACCTTTAGCTAAATTGGTCAAAGACCTACCATAAATGTAACGGGGTGAATCGTTACATAACAATTTATAAGAAATTGTTAATAGAATATAACTATAAGAGTTATATTCTCAGAATATTGTCATAAGGACAAATATTCTGTAGCACTTACGAGTAGTTCCTAATTGGTTGATATAGGCCATTATATCAACCAACGAAGACGCGCCACGACAGACGCACGCAATGAGTGGTGAGCAGATAACTGATTTACACATTTGTATTTAGACATAGTTAGATGAAGATAAATAGTGATTTATTGCAGACATTAACTATTATAAATACAGTTCTACTTTTTACTTTAACCAAGTACTCGCTTCTCCTTACCGTCTTCCTCTGCACGTACGAGTGTACGTGAAGTTACTAGGCACCGCCTTATTCTGTTATCAGAATAAGTAGCTTGTACTGTCACCAGTACAAGCTTCAGGGTGCCCCGTTACACCTGGTAGCACTTCGTAGTCCGTCCAAGGACCGCGTTCACATCCAACATGAATATGTTGGATGATGAAGATGACCAAAGCTTTCACGCTACGCGTGACGGCTACTCCCATTTGAGCGATGTCGAATGGGATGCGGTTGAACGAATGGGTTCGACCATGGGCATCCATGCTGTTAGCGTCATGCTAGAGGCTCTCAATAGAGATGCCCAACATGCTACTATCGCCAAGTTCATTCAAAATGAACTTGACGCTGAACACGACAAAGTAGCCTTGCTTCACCAACAAGGTTCTCATCAAGCAGAGTTGTTGAGAGAACAGGGTGCTCAACAGTTTGAACTGTTGAGACAGCAGCAGGCTGCTGCTGGTGGGTCGATGCACTCGCGTCGACCCAAAACCTTGAAGATTGGCATCTCCAAGTATAGGGGAGTCGAAGAGGGCTCCCTCTTGAGATGGTTCGTCGAGATGGATGACGCCATAAGGGCGCGTCGCATCGACGACGGGGATATGTAAGTTGCATTTGCCCAGTCAAATCTGGCAGGACGTGCCGAGACTTGTGCTTTGGGGCTCAAGTTGCACGACCCATACGCGTTTGGGTCGTTAGAAGTCTTCAAGTCGCGGCTCAGACAAACGTTTGAAGCCTAGAGCTGAGTTCAGAGCTCGAACCGAACTATTGAAGCTCAGACAAGGTAAGCGTGATGTGCACGCTTACGCTCAACATATACGACATCTCACAAGTTGTATAAGTTCCAATCCGGTGGATGAACACACGTTGGTTTCGGTGTTCATGCAGGGTCTTGCGGATGGTCCCGTCAAGACTCACCTGTTCCGGCTTGAACTAGATTCACTAGAACAAGCCATTTCCATTGCGGAACAGGAAGACTTCAGTCTGAGACAGGCTCGCGCCAGCTCGACATCATATCGTCCACCGAGACGATATGACAACGGAGGTCCAGAGCCGATGTAACTCTGTTATGTAGAGAGCGAGAAGGCTCGCTCTACAGACTAAAAGAAGTTGCAGAAATGCAACAGATGTCAAAAGACAGGACACTACGCTTACGAGTGTAGTGCCCCTCGTCCAGTGTCTCGCAACACTGGGCGTAGTGACCGTCCACCCATGAGAAAGGGGCAGGGACGCGGGTCCGCTGTTGGTGCAAAGACGCAACAACGGGATGGACCGTCAAAAAACGGACAGGATCAGTAGGTGCGGAGCACCCTACTGGTCCAGCAACGTCAAGAGAATTTGTAGGCCCCTTGATGAAGGTTGCTTCCAACAGACAAACATTGTGTGTTGCTGCTCTAGGTAATGAGATCTCACTCATTACCTTGAACTCGAGGTGACGAATAAGTTGTCCCTTCGAGCTCTAGTCGATTGTGGAGCGTCCAACAATTTTGTGCAACGCCAATCGCTAGAAGATGGTCATTTTAAGTTCAGTGAATGTGACACACCTCCTACGAGGATGACGGTACGTCTTGCGAAAGGCGCATCCGTAACCTTCATGAAACGGATAGTGAAGATTCACTGTACGCTAGAAGATACCCAATATGACGATGACTTTATCGTATTGGATTTGGATGACAAATTTGATGTCATCCTTGGAATACCGTGGCTCAGAAGGTACGAACCACGGGTAAACTGGCAACATCGAACAATAATGATGCCTGCCGCTTGTTCATCAGATGGCCATCTGATGAACGTTTTGGAGCGTCCACAAGCGTGTGGATGTACTACAAGTGAGTGTGATGGCCCCACTTGTGGTACGGTCGTTAGTACGACTGCACAAAACCTTAGTGTACCAAACGGTTACACTTCGGAGCAAAGTTCCGGCGGCTGTGAGGAAACACAGGCTGCGCCGAAGGTCCACCACTCGAATAAGTCGGGTGGACTGGGACAAAGATGTATCCCTAGCGGGGAACATCTAGAAGAGAAACAATCGATCGCTCAGGTTAAGCGAAACGATAATCCTAGATCGACTGGAGAGTCTTTCGTAGAGTATCTCGCTGTGGTTGCGCAACCCCAGCTAGAGGAAGTAAAGGGAATAAGTCCCAAGATTACAAATACGGCGGAAATAAGTTCCCCGAAACCCGCGGGAATAAGTCCCCGGGAAGACGAAGGAATAAGTCCTTCGAAGCCTGAGGGAATAAGTCCCCAGGAAATGACAGAGACATTGAATGTCCTAGTCAATGATAGATCAAGTGTAGGCGCTTATACACTTGATCTGATTGCGCCTCCGAAGTTGACTTCGGAGATCACTCAGTTGCCAACGCTCGAACATAAAAGGTTCTTGCGTGATCTGCGTAGTGGCAAAGTCAAGCAGATCTGCGTACTCGTCGCTGACGACGAGTGTGTAGCCGACATAAGGTCAGCAACAATCTTTACTGAGAACGAGAGAGTTCTCAGTAGTTCATCAATGGATGAGAGGTCCTAGATGAAAAGACACGAGTTGAGCGATATGACTCCCAATCGTGAGAATCGCTCAAGACAAATCCTCTCTATGAAGATTTGGTTGAATTCAAGGATGCATTCCTTAAAACTGTTCCGTGCGAGTTACCGAAGGATAAAGGTACTCGACTCGAGGTCGAGCTTAAACCAGGCTTGAAGTACTGTGTCATCAAGCAGTGGCCACTGCCTCGTGAACAAGTACTTGCGATCGACAAGTTCTTTGCCGATCGTTTAGCAGCGGGCCATGTGAGGGAATCAACTTCCACACATAGCCCTCCGACCTTCTGTGTGCGAAAAGCGACAGGAGGGTGGCGGATAGTGCATGCATTCAACAAGTTGAATGCTGCAACGGTACCGGCTAAGACGCCGATACCAAGGAAGGACGTAATCATTGATGGTGTGTCTCTTTTCGTTCATGGATTTGATGAATGGCTTCTATCAAATCCTTATGCGAGAACGAGATATACCCTATAAAGCAGTGAGCACGCCTAGCGTCATGCTCTAGGAATGGCTAGTAATTCCACAAGGGCTCAGTAATGCCCCTGCCACGTTTAGCAGATGTGTATCACATCTGTTGAGACCAGTACGAGAATTCGCACCGAGTTATTCCGATCACGTCTTCAATCGTAGTCGGGCTATGGATGGAAAGTCGGACGTTGAGGTTCACAGATACCACGTCCGACAGGTTCTTACAATCATGCAAAAGCATCAATTGTATGCAAACCTCAAGAAGTGTATATTTGCCGCAAGCGAAATACCACTTCTTGGGTGCATCGTTGGTAAGAACGGTGTACGTCCTGATTCCGAAAAGATCAAGGCGATCACCGACTGGCCTGTGCCGGTTGATGTCAAAGGTCTTCGAAAATTCCTTGGGCTAGCGGCGTATTTGCATAAGTATTCACGCAATTACGCCGAGATGACTGTGCACCTCTCTCGTTTGTTGAAAAAGAACGAGAGATGGTTATGGAACGCTGAATTTCAGCGCTCCTTTGAGTGTATCAAGCTCTGCTTGATACAATCCCCAGTCCTAGCAATAGCCGATCAGGACAGGCCATTTCATGTGGTCTGTGATGCCAGCGATTTCGCAATCGGCTGTGCATTAATGCAGTACGACCTAGAAGGCGTTGAACGCGTCGTCTGCTATCAGTCGCGTCAACTGCAACCAGCTGAGCGGAACTATCCAGTGCATGACAAGGAACTCCTTGCCATGAAGTATGCACTCGCGAAGTTCAGAGTCTATCTATTAGGAGCTAGACCCTTCATTGTTTACACTGACCATGCGTCATTACGCACGGCAGTGAACAGCCCGCACCTTTCACAACGAATGGCGCGGTGGTTGTCATTCTTTGCGGAATACGACTTTACGGTCGAGTACAAACCAGGACGACTTAATGTCGTCGCTGATGCACTCTCACGTCGTCCCGACTTTGAAACAGTGGCGAAACCCAACAGTGAGACAGCCACTGTTGCGGTTATGACGTCCTCAGTCCCACCTACAACGTTGTATGATGATGTGAGGCGGGCAGACGCCCAAGATGGTGAGATTGTGAAGTTGTTGACACATCTCTCACAACCATCTCGAGAATCGTTGAAACGATTGTCGTCTGCGTATCGATCTGCATCAGATCGATACACTACTCGTAACGGTTTACTGTACTATACAGCCGTTTCTGGTGACACACCACGTGTTGTCATTCCAGATGATACTGATCTGCGTTTGCGGATCATGTTCGAGTATCACGATGCTCCTATAGGAGGACATCGTGGCCGGGAGAAGACATATCTCACGGTGAGTCGAGACTTTTACTGGCCCCGCCAGTATCAGTTTTTGCGAAAGTATGTTCGCGCATGCGAAGTATGTCAACGAGTGAAGTCAAGTACTTCACTGCGTGCACCTTTACAGCCTCTAACAGTTCCGGCTGAGTGCTGGGAATCCATCTCAATGGATTTTGTCTTCGGGTTACCCAAAGACGCACGCGGGAATACGGGTATTCTCGTATTTGTTGACAGATTCAGCAAAATGGTACACCTTGTGGCTGTACCAGAGACAATCACGGCAAGTGGCTGTGCTTGTGTCTTTATTGACACCATCTTCCGACTTCATGGGTTGCCCCGTGAACTCGTATCAGACAGAGATCCACGATTCACTGCTGATTTCTGGCGTTCCGTGTTCAAATCACTCGGAACGCGCTTGACGATGTCAACATCTGATCATCCAGAGTCAGATGGTCAGACGGAACGTGCCAATCGTGTCCTTGAAGAGATACTTCGAGGATACGTACACTCCTTCAAGAGTTGGAGTGAGTTTTTGCCAATGGTAGAGTTTGCCATCAACAACTCGGTGCATGCGTCCACGACACATACACCGTTTTACGTGAATGGCTTGCGCCATCCGCGTGTACCCACCTTACTAGAGTGTAACTCTGGTTTAAGGGGGGGAGGGCCTCGCGCGAGCAAAAACCGATTTGGTTCACGCTCATCACGCTCTGACGAAGAAGTCATTGCGTTTGATGCCGATATCGATAACATCGATATCGAAGAAGGTGATGCCAGTGAGAGTGCGGAAGCCCTCACTGAAGAAGATGATCCCAGTGAGAGTGCGGGAGCCCTCACTGAAGAAAAGGTTGATGTTGCCGCAGTGCGCTCACAGCGCACTGAAGCTAACGAGTCATCAGATGAGTTCATACTGGCTCGTGAAACGGTAGTCCGTTTTGTGCAAGACTCCATCGCCGAAGCGGTGGATAAGCAAAAGCAAAACGCTGACAAGAATGGAAGGGCAAACACTCTTTTATTTAATAAAGGGTGACTTAGTCCTACTGTCTACGGTTAATCTACCAAAGCATGTAGTGACTAACTTGGGCAGCAGTAAACTACTACCCAAGTACATCGGCCCATTTCGTGTATTGCACCGCCTAGGCAATGCATACACGATCGAGTTACCACGTAAGATGCGAGCGCATCCCACGTTTTACGTTGGTCGGCTTAAGCCGTACCATCAGTACGCTGCTTCTTCCGATATAAAACGCCCTTGCGCTCAAGCATCTCGCAGAGAGCCTTGTGCTCCCGATGGTGGGCATCAACAAGGGTCTGAAGAGCAGCTATCTCATCCCGAGACCGATCGACAATCCCACGAGCTACCCTTAGCTCGTCACGAAGAGATGTCAGAGATCTCTCGTTCTCAAGCTAAGCAAAGGCAAACTCAGCTCGATGCTTCAAGACAGTGTCCGCCATTTGGAGACGCCTGTCCCGCTCATGTTCGAGATCGTCGCGTAATCCTTGCGTTACGCGATCAAAGAGGCTCTCGGGGATGCACGCTTCCCCACGATAGTTTGGAGAGCGTTTTCCCTCCTTGTCCACCTCCATTAGACCACTCTCGCGGTGACCAGCGCTATCTGGTTGAGCAGCTGTTGAACCACCAGCGATGTAAGCGAATGTCGGACGAGTTACCTCGTCCGGTGGCGCGACTATCCCCCGTCCTGGGATACTTGGGAGCCCCGCTCCCAACTGATGATTGACTTAATGGGTCTGGTTGAGCAGTACGACGCGGCACATCCTGTGCCGCAGAAGGACCGCCGGAGAAAGTCTTCCCGGCACGGTCGTAAAGGGATTTCAGGTTGTCAATCCCTTCGTACATCTCAGTAGAGACACGTACGCGCCACCACGGGCTGATAAGGAGGTAAGCCTCCTTAGGTGCTCGTGCAGAGTTGTTCACACAACATGGGCATGGGTCTTCCCAGGAGAGGCAGGGTAATCCTTTCTCCTTTGACAGACGATGCAGCTTGTAGCGTGCACCTGTCGGGGTTCGCTTTTCAAACTTATCACGAGCTTTGATAAGTTTGTCGTTCCAAGCGTCACGACCTACATCCTCGAGGTTATGGATGTAGGCGTTCTACGCCTGAAGTAGTGAGGGACTATCACGTTTGTGATTCCCACTGTACCATTGATGTCTAAAGAAAGCATCGATGAAGAATTCATGTTCAGCGCGTTAGTTTTTCGCGCTGGGGTCAAGGTGATGGATCCTTGACGAATCGAACAATCGTGTTCGATAACGATCACTCGTCGTCGCCGACAAGTGATCCATGACGGATTTTGGAGGCATCCATGCCTTCTTTTTTGGAGCGAGACGCAAGACATTGCGGTCCCGCTCTTCCTGCGACGTGCCGACAGAAGTACTGGCACCTCGCTGTGAAGTGGTGTCCATAGGAGAACCGACACCACTATTAGCGCCCGAGTCTCGCGACCTCGAGCGCCTTTGCTTCGGCGATGGTTCATCTGATTCATCAGATGAACCAAAGATGCTGCGACATAAAGCATCGTCCATGCCACGCTTGGCAGGCGGCTTAGATTCAATCGCCGTCGATACGGATCCGTCATCCGTATCAGGAGAGTACGAGACAGCGAGCTCGTACACTGTGAAGACACGAGTGTCTTCATGACCAACGCCTGCATCACCAAGTGACACAGGCTGGGTCGCTTCAGCAACCGATGAGACATCAGTTGCTGTTGTTTCTGCTTCGGCGTCCGCACAGAGACGTGCGGACGCGCTCTCGGTGGCCTTGTTCGCGCATCGCATGGGCTTGTTAACCATGCGATGAGATGTTGGAAAGTGGACGCGGACCAACAATTGCAAACCCTGTCCCAAATGATTTGGGACGAGTATCCATTTAGTCAATCAGTCACTAAAGTGACTGATGGTTAAGGGGGGGTGATGTAACGGGGTGAATCGTTACATAACAATTTATAAGAAATTGTTAATAGAATATAACTATAAGAGTTATATTCTCAGAATATTGTCATAAGGACAATATTCTACAGCACTTACGAGTAGTTCCTAATTGGTTGATATAGGCCATTATATCAACCAACGAAGACGCGCCACGACAGACGCACGCAATGAGTGGTGAGCAGATAACTTATTTACACATTTGTATTTAGACATAGTTAGATGAAGATAAATAGTGATTTATTGCAGACATTAACTATTATAAATACAGTTCTACTTTTTACTTTAACCAAGTACTCGCTTCTTCTTACCGTCTTCCTCTGCACGTACGGGTGTACGTGAAGTTACTAGGCACCGCCTTATTCTGTTATCAGAATAAGTAGCTTGTACTGTCACCAGTACAAGCTTCAGGGTGCCCCGTTACAATAAATGATGTGGATGAATGTGTGACCTTAGATTTTTTATCAGCAAGAGAATACCGATTGATCGATATTATCTGAGCTACGGTACGGATGGTTGCCACATCACTCAGTCATCAAATGATGACGGTAAAAGTACGTACTTTGTACCGTCATCATTTGATGACTGAGTGATGTGGCAACCATCCGTTTAGTTCGAATGCTAACATTTTTATTTAGGATAATTTAGGGTACATAAAGTAGAATTTTCCTTGATATGAAATCTAAATATACTCAGTTCTCATTTTGAGCAGAAGTCCCTAGACCCCCCCCTTCGCACCTTGGGTTTGACAGTTCTTTAGAGCTGTCGTGGGTTAGAGAGTCTTTAGACTCCGCTATTCCCCTTTTGCACATTGTGCGTGTAGTTCATTAAAACTACAGTAGCTGAGCTGTTAGCTCGTAGAGTCCACCCGAGTTCCGTAGAACTGAGTGACTCTTCAACTTGATATGTTTGTTCCTGAGAAATAATTGTCTGTTAGCCGTAAGCCTCTGGATTGTTAAATAAGTATTCCTCTGACTTAAAGAGCTATGTAGCTCTGCTACACTTGTTAGCACTTGTAGTCAATCCTACACCTGAGTCATTTTCGACAGATCCTCTGCAAGATATGGAGAGTTAAGACTACCTCTCCGAGGCACAACGTCTCGCTCTTGACAAGCTTAGATCGTTGATAGGGGTCGAGCAGGTTGACCACATTGTGGCCCAAAGCCCAGAAGTGCTTAATGCACGTCTTGATGCATTTATGCGGTTTGAGGCCACGCTGATAGGGCAGGTCCATGACTATTTAACCTCAGCGATACCTACACGGTACTTTCCAGTAACTGGCAGTGAGCAAAATGCTCGTCCATATGCTATTAGCGTTAAGACTTTCGAGGGGAAAGAGGGGGAAAGTCTCCTCCTCTGGATCCGAGAAGTCGATATGGCTATAAATGCCACGATGCTCCTATCTGAGCAATAGAATGTTGGATTAGCTATTTCGAAACTAGAAGGTAGAGCCAAAGAATGGGCTCTTACCTGTGATACGTCGGTTAGCGCTGCGTTCCCCACATGGAATTCACTTAAACGAAAGATGTCTCTGGTGTTCGCGCCACCGAATCAAGCGTACCGTTTATGCTCCCGATTCCTTGCCGCCAGGCAGGGAAAGAGAGAATTATCGTGCTTTGTCCAGGAGTTGCGAACTCTCATACCTGCCATGCAGCTGGATCCTCTTCCAGAAGAAATCCGCATCACCATTTTTATGGAAGGACTTCGTACTGGGTTCGCGAGGACGGAAGTCTTTCGCGTCCACCCCTCAACGTATGAGGAGGCTGTAGACATAGCGTTGAATGCTGAGTTCAACTTTAAAGCCGCTCGCTATGGCACTCTTGGGCATGCCCGAATATCGTTTGACAGGACTGAGTTCATGGACCTCAGCCATGATGAATAAGAAGAGAGCGATATTCTGGCGGTTGAACAGCAACGTAACATCCGTAAACATTTCATGTGCGGGAGCACCAAGCACTTGCGCCCTCAGTGCCCATTGCGGAAGCCGCGTCAAAGTCGGCCGAGCCAAAATTCGCCTTATAATCCGAAGATGGCGACGGAGTGGGAAAGAAGTGACTCCCAGTAGGCGCGGGGCGCCTTACTGGGGAGGAACTAGGTTCTGCCGAATCCATAGGTGGTAAAGATAGACAGGGCTTAGCCCCACACGGTCTTGTAGATGTTTCCACGAGACGTGAGTATAAGCCAGGCTTGTTAGTGGCCTCGGCTAAGATTTAGGGCTTCACAGAGCCGAGGTAAATATCAATTGAATCTGGAGCGTCAGGCAACTATGCTCGATGCCGGTCCCTTAAGGGATGTCAGCAGTATGCAGAGGCGCTGGAACCTCATGAGGGTGATGTTACCACTGTTCGCTAAGCGATAGGAACTCGTGTCACCGTACCTTAAGTTCCGTTGAACTTAAGTGTAAATTTTAAGACTTCGATAGTATCGAACGTAGTCTTGTCCTTAATTTAAACTCGAGATATGATCTTATCGTTGGTATGGCTTGGCTGGAACGCCATGAACCATGGATTGATTGCAGGTCGAACACCTTGGGCGCAACGCGCAACGTTCCTAGTGAAGCTTTGGAGAGTCATGAACCCACCTTTGCAAGGCAACATAAGCGCTATTGGCGCGCTCCACTGACGGAATCTATCAATGTGCTTGACATTGGAGTGTCTGAGCTAGTTAAGTCTGATGTCATTGACAATAGTGAAACGGAACGTGTTCCGTTGAGTGACACTAGTAATGACAGTGAATCACTGAATGCTGGAAGCATTGATGGCTTAAGGCCGAGTCATCCTGGGCGTGATCCCTTTGATGCGCATGGAGTGGCACGTAAACATCCACAGAGTGAGTTCGGCCGTGATGGCACCCCACTAAATATCGGTAATGAAATTGTTGGCGATTCGCCAAGGCATCAGGAGCTATGCTCATTTGATGCAAGTGTAGTGGCACGTACAAATCACAGATTGAGGTCGGCAGTGCTGGCAACCCACCAAATGTCGGCAATGACATTATCTCTCAGAGTGAGCAGGTCGAGGTTGAATATAATCTTCACCTCGTGGAACCGGATGTTCCTAACACGTTGAAGTGTTAAGTCTCTGTGCAGAGACGACAGCGACGCAAAATGTCTGCTGCAAAACGAAGGGCATCTACTATGTCCCAAAAGGACACCAGTGAACAGTTGTACACATTGGTCAATGGGGTGACGGGAAACATTGATGGAGAAGCTGGCCTCGAGGCTCTCCCATCGCTTAAAGATCTGTTAGAGCTAGATGAAAAGTCTATAGATGTATTTCATCCGGCCTTGAAGGCCGGTGCTTTTTCTGATATGGTGGTCCTTAGACCTGACCACGAGTTGAACTCGTCATCCCTTGTAGATGAGATATTCCTTGAGGACATTAAAGTTGCACTCAAAGCTCGTATTGGATATGCCATTTTGAAGGATCCTTCGGATCCCTTCTGTCCTTTGGCAAAGGAATTTCGAGGATGTGATGTGCAACGATCCACCATCTACCCTACCTCCCAACAGAGGTGTTCGTCATGAGATTGACCTGGTCCCTGGGACTAAATATTGTTTTACAAGGCAATGGCTGTTGCGCACGGAGCAGTATGACGTCATTGGCCAGTTCTTTCGTGCAAAGCTCGCGGCAGACATGGTGCGGGAGAGCAAATGTCTACACTCTACACCGACATTTTGTGTCAGAAAGCCCAATGGTAAGTGGCGTATTGTGCATGCTTACAATAAGCTTAACGCGGCCACTATACTGGCAAAGACACCTGTTCCTTGAAAGGAATTTTTTCAAAACGCTATGGCAGGGTGCACCGTGTTTAGTGCATTCGACTTAGACGATGGTTATTACCAATTGCTCATACGAGCGAGTGATATCCCGTTCACAGCGGTTAGCACGCCGAGTGGCATGCTTTGGGAG